ACATGATCCATAGAGGCACTATCTTGATTAGCTCAGCTAAAGGTTTCCAAAATAGCATGCAAGCTTTGGGATTTAAGTGTCTCAAAGAAAATATTTTTCAAAGCACTATATCAAAGAAATATTGCACCAGAAGGAAGTAGCTGAGATTCAAGCCATGTCTGCCACATTTTCCAGTGCTGTGGGTATGCAAGTCAAAATGCAGCAAGGTAGTAAAACAGAGAACTACAGTATTTCTGTAGCACCGACCTGAGTTTCCACACTTCTTCAGAAATGCTGACTGGGACATATAATAATACAGAAAATTGTAAGAATACAATTGAAACCAGAGGCTTTTCTTTTGGGACTGATGGATAAGCAGCTGGGAGAAAAAACATGGACCTTTGTTTTTGTATATTACAACTGCAGTGAGACTGAAGATGTTCCTTAGCCAGGTAACGAAATGTTTGCAAGAAAACCACCAAGCTCAGAGAACCCCAAGGACTCCACAGTTCAATCCTGAGCTACAGAGATTCTCTTCTACTGAGACTATAATATCCACAAAGGTGGAAAGATTCCACTCTACTCACAATGTAGGAATGGATGGTGATGGAACTTGCTGAGATGGCCAGATTGATGGCTTTAATTAGAGACAGGACATTGACTAAGGCTGAATGGAAAACTTTTATTGACTTTTCACGCGAAACTGAAAAAAATGAAATTATGATATATGGTTTTGATGATTAGGAAAAAAAATAGATTACAGAAAAAATGTAAACAATGTCATAATCATAGAGTAAGAGGTTAATTTACATTTATAACTGCTGTAAAAGGAAATTGGAAGTCATTTCTTTATATTTCTTCTTTCTTTCTTTCTTTCTTTCTTTCTTTCTTTCTTTCTTTCTTTCTTTCTTTTGTTTTCTGCACTTTGGTTCCATTTCTCTTATTTCTTTCCATTCTCTTCCTTTTTTATTCTAAATATTAATTTTTGTTAGCTTTTATCTTTCCTCTTAAATTTTTAATGAAGTTATATGAAAAGAGAGAGAGAGGAGGAAGGAAGGAAGGAAGGAAGGAAGGAAGGAAGGAAGGAAGGAAGGAAGGAA